CTCTCTCTCTCTATATATATATATATATATATATATATATATATATATATATATGGAAAGGTTTCTATACTTCTCCTACAACATAGAAGATATATGCTTCCCGTACCATCCAGCCATCCAATTTTGATCAAGAGAGCCAGTCACCATTTGATCTTAGATCCGACATCTCAAAGTATTTTATTTTTAGTTTGTTTTTATACAAATTGTATGGATATTAAATTTGGTACATGCCATCTTCTCATTGGGGTGCACCTATAAAAAATATTCAAATAATTTTTCGATAAAATATAATGACCAAAATACCCCTGAAAACGTTTAGGGGTATTTTGATCATTTTATTTCACTAAAAATATTTTTTTATATTTTTAGCTAGTACTAGTTTAATAGAGGATTGTACATACAAAATTTGGTGTCAAAATAGTTTATATAAAAAAATTAAAAATAAAATAGTATAGAGACATGACATTGTGATTGCGGCAATCTTAACCCTCCGTTCAGAATGGACCGTTGGATTAGGGGAAGTATATAAGTTTTATGTTGTAGGGGAAGCATAGAAATCTTGCCCATATATATATATATATATATACCATTTACACAGCGCAAGATCATTAATTCTTACACAAACCTAAAATAATCTAAGTATAGAAAAATAGCTAAGATAAGGAATAATGAGAAATGAGATATATCAATTAAGCTCCAAGTAGTATAGGTAGACTCATAAAACTTTAGACTATAAACTGCTCTGAATTGCATAACATTGTACTTACAAGATCACAAATCAAACTAACCCACTGTTACAGGTTAACTAACTATTACAGATTACAGTAAACAGACTGTATTACAGACGGACAGATTAAAAATATATACAAATTCTGGAAAGAAATAAGTAAAGAAAATGCTTACTGAATACACAAGCAATAACTGCAGAAATCTTTCCACTCAGGTAGACAGTAGCTTGGTAGTAGTAAGTGATGACATTCACACATAAGGTAATTACATGGACTGAGAAAAAGCAATATTAGACTAGAGAAAGAAATTAGAGGAAGAGATAGGTCTGAGAGTAATTTTCAAGGCGCTTTGGTCTTTGGAGTGTTGCTCGACCTGCCTTTCTTCTGAGAGATGTAGCCCCTTATATAGCCATGGACGTGAAGAGGGGATTTATTTTGGTTGATTGCTTTTTTAATGTTGTTGTTGGATATTGCCCGGTGGACGGCTGATAAAGGATGGTTGATTGTCGGCAGGTAGTGGAGGACAGGTGGTTGGCTGTGAGGGAAGTAGGAAAGCTTCGGCTTTATCTTTTTGCTAGTGGGAATCTTCTTTTGTCATGAAGTGTCGGTGCTTTGTCTTTTAGCGTTGGCAAAAGATTCTTCCTTTTACTTTATGGTTTATCACAGGGATAGAGAATCTACGTTGGGTCGGCTGAGAGGGATAGGGAACCTGCTTTAAGTGATGTGACAGGTGCTTAGGCATCTTTGGATACGTCGGGTTGTAGCTTGGCCTTGTCTCAGTACAAAGTATGCTTTTGGGACATACCATGTTCTGTTGGATCTGGATCTGGTGAATCATTCAAAACATCTATTTCTGGTGTACCTTCTTCATTGTGGATTTGAGCCGTTTCTACTCTTCTTCGAACATTTTTAACAATTGTTTTCCAAGCTCATCTTTGGTTGCTTTGGGGTTTTGTTTTTTCATTATTGCAATATATTCAGCAAGACTATTTGGGTTGGCATAAGAGTGAGAACCATGACTAGTAGGGATCTGTTTGTGTTGTATATTATCTGGTTCAAGATTATGGTAGACAAAGACGTCCCACCATTTAATAGCAATTCGTTTGCCAATGCAAGGAATATATCCATAATTGTTAGTATTATTTGTAGGTATAGTAAATGACCATTTCAGTATCCATAGAATTTAGTAAAGTGAAACAAAATATAAATGATAATCAATATTGGGATCACTCCCATTTCTTTTAATGAAGCGAGCTTGGGATACCTGTAGAGACTCAGGTAATATTTGGGATGAGGATACCCATATAGCAAACCAGTTCGGAAATGGGATTGTTATGGGCATCTTGAATTGCAGAAACCAAATGTGCGAATTATATGGGTTTTATATGGCTAGAATTTTGTGCCAAGCATCAATATAATCTGAATGGCGGTAATATTTATTTGGGAATTTAGGGGAATATAATTTTTTGCTCTAGATGGGTCTGATCCCCATTCTTCAAAAGATAATATTTTTCTTATTTGTAATTTCGAATAAGCAACTATTTTTGAATTTTTCTGGTTATAGTGAACCAGTGAAATGGATTATGTTTCTAGTAAAATCATCTCGTACCATTCTCTGATTTTGCTACCATTTGAAGGACAGAGGTTATTGCACAAATAGTACTTGGCAACTGTATTTGGGTTGTCTAAAACATGTTTATAATGGCATCAGCAACGTACTGAGATTTTCCAGTAGAAGCTGTTTTTCTTGGTATGGGTGATTGTTGAAAAACTGGAATATGTGGGAAAGATGGAGTTTGGCTTGAATGTGCTGGATATGTAATATTTGGGGAATATGTTTGTGGACTAGTAGGTGTGCTGCTGGGTGAATAGGTTGTCATACTTCTTATTGGGGATTGAGTAATATTGTCTGGGACAACATCTAAAGAGGTTTCTATTGGAGCTTTGCCCTTTTGCTCAGAAGTATTAGTATTCATATTCATATAAAATAAAGATAAAGGAAATGATAAAGATGGTGGATAAAAGTGATCAATGTTGCCCCCTGCAAAAATTCACGAGTAAGAAAATCAAGGAGATGGTTAGCAGTACCTTTGAGATGTTCAATAGAAAAGTCAAAAGAGGATAAGATAGCTTGCCATCGAGCAAAGATTTGCTTGGAGACAAGGTTTTGCACATCTTTAGTAAGGATATCGGTAGGTGCTTTGCAATCTGTTCTAATAAGAAAATGAGTATTTAAAATGTCACTCTGAAATTTGGTTACACAATGTACTATAACAAGGATTTCTTTTTTAACAGTGGAATAGCTTTGTTGAGTAGAATTCCATGCTTTAGAGGTATAACGAATTAATTGTTCAGTAGAATTAATACGTTGTTTTAATATACCTCCTAGTCCTAATTCAGAGGCATCACATTCTATAATTTTAAAAGTATTAGGATTGGCCAGGGTTAGACAAGGTAATTCCTTAGCCTTGAGTTTTATTTTTTTCACAGCTTGAGTATGTTCTTCTGTCCATTTAAGAGGATTCTTTTTTAGTCGATCATATAATGGCTTAGCATCTATTGCTAGATTTTCATAAAAATCTACTATGTAATTTAAGCATCTTAAAAGCGTTGTAATTCTGTTTTATCAAGAATAACATCTGAGAATTTATCCGCAAAATGGATAGATATTTCAATTGGTATGATTGTACCATAATTTCTATGATGTCCTAAAAATCTAATTTTGTTTGGAATAAATTTATCTTTTTAGCAGAGACAACTAGTCCTGCATGTTTTATTGCATTGATAAAAACTTTAATGTGTTTAAAATGTTGATTTATATTTTCTAAAAAAACTAATACATCATCAATATATACTATCATGAATTGGTAATATGGATTAAATACATCATTCATAATTTTTTGAAATTCTGATGGAGTATCTTTTAAACTGAATGGCATTACATTCCATTCATATTGTCCAAATGGAACATTGAATACAGTTTTATATTTATCTTCTTCTTTAATTTGTATTTGCCAATATCCTGATTTTAAATCGAATTTAAAAAAAATTGTAGAGGTAGCTAATAAATATTTTTTATTTGGAATTGGATATCTTATCCATTGGAGAACTTTATTTAAAGGTTTATAATTAATAACTAGTCTAGGAACTCCTCTTTCTTTTTCAGCATTTTTATTTACATAGAATGCAGCACAACTCCAAGGAGATGTACTTGGTCTAATTAAGTTTTTAGCTAATAATTCTTTTATTTCTTTTTGGCATGTTTCTAATAAGGTAGAGTTCATTTGAACCGGTCTTGCTTTAGTAGGTATTTTTGTTTCCTCAAATCCTGGTTTAATCCGACTACATGTTTTTTCCTATCCCAAAAAGCATTGGGTATCTCACTACATATTTCTTGTTCTATTTGCGTTTCAATAGTTTGTATTTGTTTTATTGTTTCTTTTTTATTCAATTCTTCTTCAGTAATCTTATATTTAATTTCTTCCTTTAGGGAGCATAAAAATAATTCTTTATGTTTTATAGTTGTTTTAACACTATTAATTTCTTTAATCTTAGGTTTATCTATAAATTCAAATATTATTTTAGTACCAGCAATTATTGTTTCTATTCCTGTATGAGTAATTATTATGGGATATAATAATGTAAGAAATGAAACTCCTAATATAACTGCTTGACTGAGTCATTTAACCATAATAAAAGGAGTAGGAAAACAATGTCCATCATTGCAAACGACATCAGTAGATAATTTATATTTTATGAATAGTCTACTACCATCTGCAGTATTTAATATTTAAGTTGTTTTGTCAAAATATTTTGTAGGGACTAAATCTTCATTAATACAATTTAAATCTGCACCTGAATCTATGAGGGCTAATGATTGGAAATTGTATTCATTTTGAATAATAATTTTGACAAGTACAAACCATTTTTGGGTTATAATTTTATTAAGTATATGTACAGATCTATGAATGTCGTTGGGTTCATCAGTTAGGGGGTCTATAACTGGATCTAATAATTGGGTAAATTCAAGTTTATCTATATCACTTATTTCGTATTTTACTTCATTTTGTAATTCTAATATTTTAATTCAACTTTTAAGTTGATTTATTTATGTTTTTACTTCATTGATTTCTCTTTTTAATTCTGTTATAGTTGGTTCTTTTTGTAATGTGTCTTTCTGACTTATTCTTTTCATTATTTCAAAAAAGTTATATTCATCTGGAGGTTTTAATAATGGAGTAGGTTTATTTTTGGATTTCATAATATTTATGAACTGAGTTAAAATTTCTCTTTTCTCATCAGGTTCATTTATTCTTTCTATTAAATCTAATATTAAAGAGTCTTATTTGGATAACATATTACAGGAACAACTACTGTTGTTATCTAAAGAGCTTGATATTATGAAATCTTCATCTTCTAATTGTCCTATTAAAGATATATCACTACTACTGTTATTTTCAGAGGAATTATCTGAAGAGTCTTCATCATATAATTGTATAATTTCATACATTTGATTTCTTATATTTTCATCTAATATTATTGCATCCAATTTCTTTTTCACTTTACAAGTATTCTTATAATGGCCTACTTTGCCACATTTATAGCAGACTGGTATTCTTTTCTTGCCTTTTTTATATTGATGTTTTGGTAAGAACTTCTTTATATAGTTTTCTTTTTTCCTTTTCTTATATACTCTTTGTTCTTTTTTATATTTTTTCTTTTTATGAGATTTGTCTTTAACTTGTTCAATATTATATCCGAATTGTTGACAGAAATCTCCTAATTCTTTATTACCAGTCATTCTGTGCTTGTCTAATTGTTTTTTAAGTTTCATATCAATGCATAAGGCTAATCCTTCAGCACATATTTCGGCTGATAATTCTCTTAAGGTATAAGCAGAATATTGTATTATCCCTCCATGTTTATTTTTCAGTCTAGTATTAACTTTTTCAGCAAATAAATGTGGTAGACCAGCTATAAATTTTTCTTTCCAATGGTCTAAATGACTATCTTCTCTGGTTAAGAGTCTAAAAAAGAATACGTCTTTGTACTATTTATAATGGGATAATGTTGGGCATCGTAAATTTGAGGGTAAATCTTCTTATCTAGCTTCTAATAATACAGTACTCCCGACAAAATGAAGAGTGATGGTATAAATAAGAGTATTGACAACATCACTTTCGGAGTAGAGGATATCCTGTTGTTGTTCATTTTTAATTGTCCATTGCCTAGTGGTATTAAGAATTTGATTTTTGAGTGGTTCAGGGAGATGGAAGTCCCACCAGCCTTGTAGCCAGCCAGTAAAACTACACACTATTGCTTTAGCCACTTCTTGGTCATGATTGCCTACCATTTTGCAGCCTGAAGCATACATGGTCATATATTTCATTGTATCAAGGATTTGATGTTCTGACATGCCATCTATATTCCAATTAACTATAGTTCTTCCTGAATAAGATGTGGTATGGGATTTTAGGTCTTCTTCAAATTGAATATCTACTAGTGTAGGTTTATGATGGTAAGGTCTGGCTGTAGCAGGATTCCATCCTTTGCTATAAGCTATGCGTTGGATATGAGAATTTTGGGATTCTGTGAATGCTAATTCTTGGTTTTCTAAAGTGTCTTGAATCATGAGTTCTTCTTCTTGAAGAGTTAATGTTGAAGATTCTGTCACTATTTTTTATTTTCCTTTTGGATCTTTTATGTCTAACTCAGATAATTTTGATATCAGTTGATCCATTAGATTGGTATTAGTTTCTCCCATATGAAATTTTTCTTTGTTTAACTCGGGAGGTGGTTTAAATAATAAGGCTTTTTTAGATTCTTGCATAGGATTTGGTTTAATCATATTTTCTATTCTTAAAGTTTGTTTTCTTATTAATTGCGTAAATAAATTGGTATAATTATTTTGTTCTATAATATGAGGAATTAATTCAGTTCTATGTACTATTTCTCCAGTAGTCATTTTATAGAGAGTAGCTCTTGTTTCTGATACAAGAGAGAATTCCCTTTCTTTGTTTATCTTTTTTATGATAATACTTTGTTTTGGAGGATGAACACTAGTAATAGTAGTGCCTTCTATTGTATTATAAGTAGTATACTATTTCTCTATTGTATTTATTTCAAAATTAGGAATTTTAACATTTTTCTCTTTTAAGATATTTCTTAACCAAGTGAAAAATCCTTTAGTGCAAGTTTTAGTTTCATATAGCTTATTATATTATTTATGGAATAATTCTATTAGTCTTGGTTCAAATTTTTTTAGATACCAATTTCTTATGTCTTTATTTTTGTCTGAGACATAATCCTGTTCTATCCATTGTTTTGATACTCTTTCTGGAATAGTAAGAGTTAAAACATGAAAATCCATTTCGGTATTTGAAAGATCAGGTTCCGGTTTTACTGTGGATTGTATTGGGGAATTACTATATTTTCTCTAGTTCGTAATAGACTTTGTATTCTTGGATTCATACTACTCGAAGTAGAATTCCTGGATTATTCAATAGGTTTAGGGTTTAGATTAATACTAGTATCTTCTCTAGTATGTCTAATAATCTGATTTGGAAATTGTATTACTATTTTCCCATCTGTATGTTCTATAATTCTATCAGGAATATTTTGACT